CTGCAGTACAACGGAATTCATCCTTCCTCTTCTGGTGAGATCGACCTACAAATATCTTCTTGATGCATTTTCATACGAAATGAAAGTCCCTGCAACAATGTTATCTCAGGAGATTTATCGAAACTCAGTTTCGTATTTTTGGCAAACATTTTGTTTTATGATTTTTTGTCTCTATTACTGACTTCTTGTCAATTTCCCTCCCGCAATTTCTTTCATCAGCATTTCTTCCAGATTCTCCTTTGTGTACTCTGTTTTCAACCGATTTATTGTTTTGCCACCGATAATATTTTCTACTTGTTCCGTATCTTATTTTCTGTCCATCACACTATTATTATTTTCTTCTCCACTCATATATATAGAGTTAAAATAGGACTTATAAATCATTGATAATAAGGAGTCTTTGTTTGGCAGACGTAAACTACAGGGACCACGAGACTGGTAGATTGAGGCATATATTGTTTCAAAACAACTACTCATTGGGATTAGTAGAAAATTACTTTTCATTTACCAGTAACAAGATAGGGGAATTTGGAATCTGGGACAGATGGGTGATTCTACTCGGTTCCTGATTTTGTCTTTCTGTCAGGTTGCGGATAAGTCGGGTGGCCTATTGAGGAAGTGTAACATCAGGACTATACAAATAGTAATTAACACTTTATTCAGTATTTCCCTTGTTTATACAATTTTCGGATACTCTTTCTAGAGCAAGCATCTACGAGGTTTTTTACTCATTTGGCCGAACCACCCAGAAGAGACTATGTGAACACAAAACCGCTTGTAAAGGTCTTGGGTACAAAAATCTTAGCTCGATGAGTGCATGACTAATACAGGACACTCAATACACTGGTCCAAAACCCGTTTTATTGGTTACGAGAACTTCACATTAAAGGATAAGATTAGGGAGTCTATAGAAATTAACAAAACAGCCCGCATCCTGAATAAGAGGAACAAATGTAGAAAACTGAATGGGAACTATTTGTGGCTGTTGGATAAGCTAAAGGAAAGACAGAGAGAGAGGTAGGGCCAGTGAACAAGAAGGTGCTGGATTAGCCTAAAGACTTGTTATGGCTATCACACTTTCATTGGCATGAACATCACATAGACACAATAGACAATAGCACAAGCCCAAACATGTATCAATACTAGAGGATCATACACTAGTTTATTTGTGTAAGGAAATAGCTGCGAACCTAACGCACTTCTGGTTCGTGAAGTAACCTCATTTATCTGCAGGCATGTACATTTTGTGGTAGCCAACCAAATCATGCAATACTCCATTAATATCGCGAAGTTAGGTGTTTAAAAAGCGACTATGGTTGAATCCAGCCACCTTTTCTCTTCGTTTAGTATATTTTTCTCTATTACGTAAATTATGGATTTTTGCTCTGATTATGCGTCAGTACAGACGAAAGTTCAACACAGTTAAATCGGGGTCGCTGGACAATAACCTTAGGACTTCTTCGCGCAATGCCACAGTCTTCCCTACGCGGCAATCCTCCTTCAGTTTTCAATGAGGCCACATCACCAATTCCTTCCAACCAACTTTTCCTTAAAAAATAAAAAATAATATCACAAAATTTTACCAAGGAATTCTTTGAAACCCAATTTTTCTTCATATTTTTATTATCCAAAAGCCTTTTCTTCTATACTTATAATAGGACTTCTATTATTTCTTAATAGGAACCATATGGGCCTATCAGCCAGGATCTCGCTTACACAACCCAATATCACGATCTAATTTTAAATAAAATACTAATACTAATTGTAGCACCTGAACCGTTTTTAATTATATCTTCATTGGAGTTGTCAGCTAGCTATTTAATTATTCACCAAAACCATTAATACATTAATACATTTTTAGATAGTAGTAATAATCACTTTTAAATTGAGCATTATTCAATCAACAAGCGCTATTATTACCGCGAAAAAAGTTCTTTATTTCTCAATAAAAATTATTTTATACATTTTCATTTGGATTAACTATTTATTTTTTAGATGGTCAAATGACACTTTCTCTACCTAGTCAGGCAATTAGCTCCCTCTCCTCAGGACCTGGTACTAGTCTTTTCAATATTGGGCAGTCCTTTTATGGCCTTACATCGCCTCCTTTCCAAACGGCCTCTCGCTTATCCACATCAACTGGTTTAAATATCTCCGGTCTTCCTGTGCTAACTGCAACTCCGCATTCTTCCGTGGCCAACTCCTTCCCATCCGTTTCCTCCAGCAACCACACAGGCTCCAGCCAATCCTCCATCTCCGAGATATCTACCGACATTACACCTGGAGGTGTTAGAGAATTGTTTTCCACTTCTTCGTTTGAACGCATTTTAACCTTGCCAGTCACTGACTCTTCTGCTGCTTCAAATATTACTGTTACAGTACCCTGCACGCACAGCAGTACCATTGCTGATACGGCGACGACTACTACGTTTATCCTCACTAACGGCGTCGGTTTTGGCCTTGGTTGCCTTGAGCTGACTGGGTTTACTGGTGAGTCAACCTTTTTACACGGCACTCAGGCTACGGCGGCAACTACACCAGACAAAGGGATGCTACGGTCTTCTATTGCGCCCACTTGTCGGCTTAGCCCTTCTGAAGCATCTATGGAGACCACACCATGCACTAGTGTTGCTTCAGCCACGGCGGCCATTCTTATTCCAGCGACTTCGACACGCGCAAACTCCATGCCCTCCACTTTTCTGTCTGGCTCTGTTGGATCCTGTGTATCTGCTTCGGAACTCTCAGTTCCGATTATTTCCTCATTTCCAACCGCTACTAGTACTGTTGCTACCGCAGTCACTCCTGTAATTTCGTACCCTGGTCCAAGCAACTTTACTCCTAATCAAGCTTCCGTTGGTCCTTCTAGCAATTTGATGAATGCCACTAATACCCATCTCTCAACCTCTTCGATCTTTCTGGTGCCCTGTTCCGCCTCGCGTGCTTCCGTTTCTCTTTCTCCTACCCAGCCCAATTCAGCAGCTTTATCTGCCGAACAAGCGTCTATAGGGTCTGCTGGTTATTCAGCATTGCCCTCCATCGGGACCTATTCCGCTGGCGCCCGCGCTTTTGACACAACAAATCCGCTACTGCCACGTGTCAGTATATTTAGTCCCGGACTCTGCCAGCCCCCAATGGAGAGCTGCACCGCCGCAGATGCTACCTTATCGCCCACCAAAAGGTTTATTTCTCTGCCAAACTGTTCGACCAACAGCCATTTGTCTATGAATCCTGGCTCTTTCTTGAGTCTTGTTCAGACTAACTCTCCGGATCTACTGCCCACTGTGCTTCAACATAATCAATTGGGAAACAGCAGAATTCTCGCCATACAGCAACCCTCGGCTGCCACATTTATGGAAGTTTCTTCCTCATCTAATTCCATCACTAGTACGACTACTTCCACTACTGCTTCATCAGCATCCTCCCTGGTTCGTGAGCATGTTGAGCTTGGTGCTTCCTCTGGCAACTCATCATTGGTTGTCATCCCTAACTCGTCGGCTAGATCGAACATTGGTACTCGATCTCCTAGTCATCCTGAACAGTTTTCAATGCCAGTTACTTCGTTCGATTCTTTCACCATATATCCATCTTTCTTATCATCTCAACAACCATCGACCACTAATCACCCTTCCCGCATGACCGCCAATGCCAAGGTGATTGATGGCAACTGTTGCAGTGGTCAAAGTTCTGAAATTGTACTCATGCCAATAACCAGTAGCCATAGCAACATGGGTACACCCTGTACTGCACTATCTGCAACCATTTCTTCCCATCCGCCTCTACTGGAGCCATTCTCCGTACCCGTCTCTAACAACACGCATTCGACAGTTTCTACCTTCATGTTACCATCGTCTGACGACCGATTTCATACATTAACTGATACTACCATCCCTACCACTCTGATGCTTCAGAGCAAGTCAGTCTCTGATTCGAGCAGTACTGAATCGATGATAACTCCCGTCACATTCGTGACTTCCGGACAGGTAGGCCAATTTACTTTTTCTAACTTTGTTTGCATATTTTTTGTTAACTGAATTTGCCAGATTAGTCCTATAGATATCAACTTAGCTCAATTTAGGCATCTTTACTAAAAGTGTTTTTCATTTTTACCTCCTATCCTTTTTTAAAATTCTTTATCTTACTGACTCATTGGCTGATATATGCTTTAAGGCAAAATTGCTGCATTCCTTATTTGGATCGCTATTTGCTGCTACCTCTTGTTGATTTTCGTTTAAACAGTCTTGCGATTCCCCTTTATCTCCTAAAATGGTATATAGAATACCTTTTTTTAATGGCAGCTTTGTTTATATTTAGTTATAGTTAACGCATCTTGAGGCAGGTTTACCTAGTAATTGAGGATATGACGATCAAGATGTTGTGGCCCTTGGTATGGTCGCAGTCTTTCGATTTATAGAAGTTGGTTGACCTCGTTGTCGCAATTTGGTCTTGTTTTCACGGAGACTAAGTAGAATGCACCTGAAAGTCAAGACTTCCATTATATTCTTTTCTATTATTTCTCTTTCATTGCCCATTAGTTAATTTAGAACTAACATTTTATAAACTATCCTCACCACACTGTACACTAATTGAATAAACACCCCCATCTCTAAAAGTGGGTTGACCTCGCTGTCGCAACTTGGTCTTGTTGTCAGGGGGACTATGTAGAACGCACCTAGTCCGAAGTCGTCTGCCATAGTAGTTATCATGATTCCCAGCATCTGACAGTGGATTTGATACATTCTCAAACGTTTCGCCTGCATCGTAGTCAGCATCATCAGTGAGCTTTGCTATTCTCCGCACCAAGCTACGAACGCGTCAGAGACAAGTGAAGTCAATCCCTCGACAAGTGTTCTTTGACGGCGTTTGGTGTTTTCAAATCTGAGGGTTGGTCTGCTTATGCTATAAAGAAGTGTTAACTATGCTGATAGTTTTCTACATAATTTGTTTGTCG